TATGGTCGCTCCCTCTCCCTCACTACCCAACTCCCCACAATTCTACCCACTTGTAGTGGAGGGTCCCAGAGGGCAGGAGACAATAACTAAGAAAGGCAGTCAGTTTAAAGCTTTTGTTTAAAATAATAGATCCCAGGAAGGGGTTTGGAAGGGAAACAGAATGCAGTTTAAGCATACTGCAGAAGATCTAATGCAAAATATTCCTGTTACAAGAAATAGGAAAATGGCCAAAAAGATGAAAAGATTTGATGCTAATGGAGGCAAAAGATATTAGATTCAGAAGCAAGTGCAAGGGAGCAGATTTACTGCCATCTCTTTGATTTCTCACAACCTCTGTATTAGATATACAGAAGGGGAGCTGAATTCTAAAGCAGTCAATTTATACACTTGGATGTTATTACAAATATGTGGTTTGTACAAATATGCAATTCAACAGAGGCAGAATCAAGAATATCAAAATCCTTCCATCATCAAGAACCTCAAGGATTCATGGTGCCATCTGCCATCTGGAAGTGAAAGGACAATTTTCACAATGGAGAATAATTTTGTATCCAGTTTCCAAAACCTGCTACAAAAGTGCCTTTACCACCATCCCCAGGGATTTTTTTACTACGATTAAAAGGAAAGCATAAGCATTTGTGTAGAAACCTACTACAGTGGTACCTCAGGTTAAGTACTTAATTCGTTCTGGAGGTCCGTACTTAACCTGAAATGTTCTTAACCTGAAGCACCACTTTAGCTAATGGGGCCTTCTGCTGCTGCCGCACCGCTGGAGCACAATTTCTGTTCTCATCCTGAAGCAAAGTTTTTAACCTGAAGCACTATTTCTGGGTTAGCGGAGTCTGTAACCTGAAGCGTATGTAGCCTGAGGTGTATGTAACCTGAGGTACCACTGTAATAGACACCAAAGAAGTAAAGACTGCTAAATAGTATCCCTAACCCTAAAAATATATTCACGAACCATTAAGGAAATATAATAGGATAAAACATTCTTTACTACAATGCTCCTCAGACCATACTATTAACCTAAATGATACAGTCTGACTATCTAGGACAAATGAGAAGGGTTTTATTCTGCATGGGAATTCAGTGGTTACCAGCTTTTGTTTCAAACTGGCATCTTTCAGTAGACCTAGATCTTTGACCAGTGCAAAATATATTCTCAACCATACAATGCTTATGTCATTCCAGCAGATGTAAAATGTCTCCTAAAACTATTCAAAAATAGTAGGCATTGCTGGAGGCTGTCCTACATGCAGAATTTGCAATTCCCTCCTTTGTGTACCCTAGGTGCACAGAGCTTTGATAATGTAATGGGTTGAATGGCTGAAATGAATGTCAGGTGACGGACTACCTAAAACACCTGACGGAGCAGCTTTAACCTGCTAGCCTGTGTAAACTGTGTAAAGCTTTAATGGCTTATTATGACATGCCCCAAGATCTGTCAGAGGCAGCTGATACAGATGCTCTCAAGAGAAAGATCTAAAATAGGATATATGTGACAGCTGCCCAGGCAGATTTGAAAGTTAAATACAAAACCCAGTTTTTACAGTGGTACCAATACCTAACATACCACCAGATTTTTGAAATTTATTTTTCAGATTGACATATTGTTCCTCCTGAGAAAAGCCTTCACTGGACTTCACCTTCAAATAATGCCCTGGGCCTATATTGATGGAAGGTATTCCAATACATCTGTAAATTTATGTTTGTGTATCTCTGGTCAAGAGGAAGAGGAATTTATTATCCATTACGTTTTGGACTGCCAATTGTATGAAGTCCCTGGGGGAGAAAATGTATTTTAGAACTGCATAATAGGCCTACTGCTACATTTGACGGTGGAAACGTTCTCTATCTCCTAATGGAAAGCAAATATGTCACTTGTCAGACAGCTTTATTTGCATGATATGCCTAGAACATAAAGCAATCAATTACTGCAATCTTGTCAAGGTGATTATCTTACATAAAATTGGGGGTGAGCTATGAAATAAACCAGTGTTTAAGCTTCAGCTAAGAATTATAAGGCATGCATATACTCATTGCAGTGGAGATTTATGTACTGTACAATCTATACAATTCAAAGGTATCTGCATGTGTGGTATGTATCTTGTGATGACCTACGGTTTTTAACAAATAAATGAACTTGACTTATCATCTAACCTCTTACTCAGCATTCAGAAAGAGCCCCAGTGCTGCATAACAAATACTAAAATTCACACAGAAATAATATTAATGTGGACAATAATATTTGGCATCCTCTCATGGGACAATGTAATACTGAATTAATTCACAGTTCTGCAGTTCTCCTAGTTCCTAGGATGGGAAGCAATTGCACTGCACATAACTGTTATTAATTAGCCTTTCACTGCAGTTCTTCCCCTGAATGTGCTCAGTTTACATGTAAAGGGATATATTTATCCAGAGCTTGAAGGGCAATAGAACACTAAAATATCAATAGTTGAATACATTGAAAAAGAATATATCAAGGTCACCGATAGGATTCAAATGCCAGTACCCCTAGTAGTAGTAGTAGTAGTAATCCCCATAAACAAAAGCTAAGATAAAAGCAGTATAACTACTTGCATACAATAACTATTTGCATAAAACTACTCAAATTTACCTCAGTCAAAGATACATTATGTCCTTTTAGAGGACCCCACCCCAGCAATTGGGTGTTATCTCCCACCCTCTAAGCCTCTGCAATGTCTTCTGTAAATGTGTCTACTAATAAATTTGGCTTCTCTTCTTTCTACAAACAGAGGTGTGTGTAACAGCAACATAATCCTTACAGCCCCCAGTGCTGTACCACTTTGGTTTTGCTTCCTCTGTGATGGCCTCCGTGATGAGGTAAATGTGGTGTGCTATGCTTTGTTTTTATCTGGGATTTGGGAACAAAGCTGATTTGATAACCCTAGTAGATAATCTTTATCAGGAAAGGCGGGTGGGTGTAGTCTTGTTGATTTTGCTGGAGTTCTCAGAACAGTGGTGGACTTGGGGCTTTAAAATTTCAGTGGCATTCTGTGCAATGCCAAAATCTGGCACGCGCGCGCACACACACACACACACACATGTGCACCAAGCCTCTTGCCTTCTATTGTTAGTCTTTGTTGCAGCATCCCCTGTGGTACCCCCTTGGCTCTGTGCCCAGTTCTCCCCTAAATCCGCATCTGCTCAGCAGCAGTTGATTTCATCCAGTAGTTGATTCCATCAAAAGATCCAATGCTTTGACATGGATCCATGTATGTCATGTGGTAGTGCTGAGTGAATATTGTTTACCTGTGGTAACTGCTTTGTGATCTTCCAAAATTATCTATTTTATCCTGAATGCTATTTAACATCTAAACCAACTGCTTGTTGTTGTTTAGTCGTGTCCGACTCTTCGTGACCCCATGGACCAGAGCACGCCAGGCACTTCTGTCTTCCACTGCCTCCCGCAGTTTGGTCAGACTCATGTTTGTACCTTCGAGAACACTGTCCAACCATCTCGTCCTCTGTCGTCTCCTTCTTCTTGTGCCCTCAATCTTTCCCAACATCAGGGTCTTTTCCAGGGAGTCTTCTCTTCTCATGAGGTGGCCAAAGTACTGGAGCCTCAGCTTCACGATCTGTCCTTCCTGTGAGCACTCAGGGCTGATTTCCTTCAGAATGGATACGTTTGATCTTCTTGCAGTCCATGGGACTCTCAAGAGTCTCCTCCAGCACCATAGTTCAAAAGCATCAATTCTTTGGCGATCAGCCTTCTTTATGGTCCAGCTCTCACTTCCATACATCACTACTGGGAAAACCATAGCTTTAACAATACGGACCTTTGTTGGCAAGGTGATGTCTCTGCTTTTTAAGATGGTGTCTAGGTTTGCCATCGCCTTTCTCCCAAGGAGCAGGCGTCTTTTAATTTCGTGACTGCTGTCGCCATCTGCAGTGATCATGGAGCCCAAGAAAGTAAAATCTCTCACTGCCTCCATTTCTTCCCCTTCTATTTGCCAGGAGGTGATGGGACCAGTGGCCATGATCTTCGTTTTTGATGTTGAGCTTCAGACCATATTTTGCGCTCTCCTCTTTCACCCTCATTAAAAGGTTCTTTAATTCCTCCTCACTTTCTGCCATCAAGGTTGTATCATCTGCATATCTGAGGTTGTTGATATTTCTTCCAGCGATCTTAATTCCGGCTTGGGATTCATCCAGCCCAGCCTTTCGCATGATGAATTCTGCATATAAGTTAAATAAGCAGGGGACAATATACAGCCTTGCCGTACTCCTTTCCCAATTTTGAACCAGTCAGTTGTTCCATATCCAGTTCTAACTGTAGCTTCTTGTCCCACATAGAGGTTTCTCAGGAGACAGATGAGGTGATCAGGCACTCCCATTTCTTTAAGAACTTGCCATAGTTTGCTGTGGTCGACACAGTCAAAGGCTTTTGCATAGTCAATGAAGCAGAAGTAGATGTCTTTCTGGAACTCTCTAGCTTTCTCCATAATCCAGCGCATGTTTGCAATTTGGTCTCTGGTTCCTCTGCCTCTTCTAAATCCAGCTTGCACTTCTGGGAGTTCTCAGTCCACATACTGCTTAAGCCTGCCTTGTAGAATTTTAAGCATAACCTTGCTAGCGTGTGTAATGAGTGCAATTGTGCGGTAGCTGGAGCATTCTTTGGCACTGCCCTTCTTTGGGATTGGGATGTAGACTGATCTTCTCCGATCCTCTGGCCACTGCTGAGTTTTCCAAATTTGCTGGCATATTGAGTGTAGCACCTTAACAGCATCATCTTTTAAAATTTTAAATAGTTCAGCTGGAATATCATCACTTCCACTGGCCTTGTTATTAGCAGTGCTTTCTAAGGCCCATTTGACTTCACTCTCCAGGATGTCTGGCTCAAGGTCAGCAACCACACTACCTGGGGTATACGAGACATCCATTTCTTTCTGGTATAGTTCCTCTGTGTATTCTTGCCACCTCTTCTTGATGTCTTCTGCTTCTGTTAGGTCCTTTCCACTTTTGTCTTTTATTATGGTAATCTTTGTACGAAATGTTCCTTTCATATCTCCAATTTTCTTGAACAGATCTCTGGTTTTCCCCATTCTATTGTTTTCCTCTATTTCTTTGCATTGCTCGTTTAAGAAGGCCTTCTTGTCTCTCCTTGCTATTTTTTGGAAATCTGCATTCAATTTCCTGTATCTTTCACTATCTCCCTCGCATTTTGCTTGCCTTCTCTCCCCGCTATTTGTAAGGCCTCGTTGGACAGCCACTTTGCTTTCTTGCATTTCCTTTTCATTGGGATGGTTTTAGTTGCTGCCTCCTGTATAATGTTACGAGCCTCCATCCATAGTTCTTCAGGCACTCTGTCCACCAAATCTAAATCCTTAAACCTGTTCCTCACTTCCACTGTGTATTCATAAGGGATTTGACTTAGATTGTATCTTACCGGCCCAGTGGTTTTTCCTACTTTCTTCAGTTTAAGCTTGAATTTTGCTATAAGAAGCTGATGATCTGAGCCACAGTCAGCTCCAGGTCTTGTTTTTGCTGACTGTATAGAGCTTCTCCATCTTTGGCTGCAGAGAATATAATCAATCTGATTTCGATGCTGCCCATCTGGTGATGTCCATGTGTAGAGTCGTCTCTTGTGTTGTTGGAAAAGAGTGTTTGTGATGACCAGCTTGTTCTCTTGGCAGAACTCTATTAACCTTTGCCCTGCTTCGTTTTGAACTCCAAGGCCAAACTTGCCAGTTGTTCCTTTTATCTCTTGACTCCCTACTTTAGCATTCCAATCCCCTATAATGAGAACATCCTTCTTTGGTGTTGTTTCTATAAGGTGTTGTAAGTCTTCATAGAACTGGTCAATTTCAGTTTCTTCAGCACCAGTGGTTGGTGCATAAACTTGGATTACTGTGATGTTAAAAGGTCTGCCTTGGATTCGTATCGAGATCATTCTATCATTTTTGAGATTGCATCCCAGTACAGCTTTCGACACTCTTTTGTTGACTATGAGGGCCACTCCATTTCTTTTACGGGATTCTTGCCCACAGTAGTAGATATGATGGTCATCCGAACTGAATTCGCCCATTCCCATCCATTTTAGTTCACTGATGCCCAGGATGTCAATATTTATTCTTGCCATCTCATTTTTGACCACATCCAACTTACCAAGGTTCATGGTTCTTACATTCCAGGTTCCTATGCAATATTTTTCTTTACAGCATTGGACTTTCCTTTCGCTTCCAGGCATATCCGCAACTGAGCGTCCTTTCGGCTTTGGCCCAGCCGCTTCATCAGCTCTGAATCTACTTGTACTTGTCCTCCGCTCTTCATCAGTAGCATAAACCAACTGCTAGGAGAGGCTATTTGGTGTGAAATGTCATCTGCATGCTGATGAGAAGGAACTCACGATTTGTCCTTCTCATATCACAGTGTAACAGTTACATTCCTAAAAACCTTTCAGAGGTCAATAGAGGACTTGATGAAGGTAATCAAACTGAAATGCAATCCAGATTACATGGAGCTGCTAATAGTGAATGGTCAGAAAAGTCAGAAAGTTGGTGAATTATCTGTTCTAGACAGGGTCACGCATATCCTCAAAGATTTAGTTTGCAGTTTGGTAGTCTCTGTCGGTTTGCAAGCCCCCTCCACAGAGGCTGGCCCCTCTCACTGTCCTCGGAGCTTGCATACCGGTAACCTCCTCTGGCTGACATCCAGACAGACCAGGGAGATTTTGATAGGTGACATTTTCCCAAGAGTGGGTAAAATGCACACACACACCCCTCCTCCTGCTTCCGCAGGGGAAAGAAAATAAGTCAGAAATCTATTTACATGATGTTTATTTCTGACATTACAGCACTACAGAAAAACACGTCCTTTCAGTTCAGTTCTTCTAGCAAGTCTGACAAACTTCCTGAACATGCGCAGTCGGAAGGTTTCAAATTACACTCTTCACAAAGACTTATCCAGCCTGTGAACGTCTGGGGAAATTCCTTCCCACAGATAGCCGCATCATGTGATGTCAACAAGCTGGCTGTTTGCAGTTGTGATGTTTCCATATACTGACGGTCTCCTGGGTCCAACTTTGCTGTTGGATTCCAGAGTGGGATTATTATGATGCTTGGTTTAGACCAGCACACTAATTGCACCCCCTTCTGGATAAGAGTGTTTGAAATTTGCCAAAATCTGACTTGGAAATTAAAGAGGATGCATCCGTGTGGAGCAATGCAACCAGGAATTTCCTAGCATGTATTTCAATATACAATTTATCACACCAAAAAAACAACAGTGTTTTTTTAAAAAAAACTTCCTTTAACTGCTTTAATAGCAAAGAGTTCTGAGATCAATGTGTAAGGGTTCCTATTGCCAGAAGCATAGATTCAATGATCTAACCTGTCTACATTCCCTATGGAGTTGACTCAGCCTTTTATCTTTCTAAGGTAAATGAGCAGCACTTTGTAATGAGTGGGTGGTAGTAGCCGCACAAGCTATTGAAATGCATATTGATCTCCTTAGTTCAATTACATATCGACTTGTGCCTCCTGCTGAACAACTCTTCTCTAGCCTATGGGTATTCCCTTTGAATAGGTAATTGCTAATAGCAGTTAAAAAAATAATCCCCATTCATGTATAGATTGTACTGGCTACTGCTTTTTGGCCTCTTTATTTGCCAGGAGCTAGTGAACAATTCAGGACACTTAAGGTGAACATATTACAGGAAGCACAGGGCTTTCCCTGTAAATGTAATCCCTTTCTGCAAATGTAATCCCTTTCATAAAGTGTAGGCTCACTTAACCAGTGTCATGATGTTATTCACAATTTGCCATTCTCTATCCCCACTCCCAAGACCAGCCTGCCCATGAGGCAAGGTGAAGTGACTGTCTCAGGTGGCAGGATCCACAGGGGCAGCAGATCCCCAGGTATATCTTAAATTTTCCAGTCTTTCATGGTCAGTGCATGTCACAGATTACATGAGTCGTGAGCCATAGGTGAGGTCTGTGTATTTTTTATTACAGTTTTTCAAAATGACAACAGTGAAGTGAGTTAGAGGGAAGTCCCTTCTCCCCTAGCACTGACTCTATATAAATAAGCCACAATCATAATACAACCTAAAATGGTAGTAAAGCTCGTGTTCTGTTATGTAATCCTATAGTATGAAAAAACTATGTTGGTTTGTCTGACAAATGATATCACTGTAACCTTGGAAGCGATTATAACCAAAAAATAGGATGGGGAAAAAACATACACACAAAACAACAGATGCAGCAGAGGGCAAACATCTTCATCAGGGCTTCAATGCATCAATCCTATGCTGTTACACTATGTGCTTATGTTGTGTTGCTAACATTTAAAAATAAAACCTGTCATACTGCCAAAAATATACCGGGGGTGGAACTATTCTGTGCTTGATTCTGCTCCACCTATGGTTTCTCTTAACGCTATAAGGAAATCCATTCCTCTCAATGGGTGCTCAGAGACCCAGAATGTGGCCAAATACAGATTCCCTGCATCACTGGGGCACACTGAGCCACATCTGTCCTGCCCAGCAGTGATGGAACCAAGTGTACATGTATCTCTAAAAAGAACTCATGCCCCTAGTGCTACCCAAGCGGCTTGTTTTAAATAAAAAAAGAACTCAGCAAACTGACTGTTTCCTTTGCCAAATTGATGTGATAGTTCAAGGTCACCTGAATCCCTACTATAGAGGCTGTGTTCATGCAGGAAAGGGAGGAGGAGAGAGGAAGGCAAAGAGAGAAGAGTTTGCTCTATTAGAAACAGTACAGAAATCCAGAGATAAAAAAGAAAAATCCACGCAACTCTTTCAAGATAGAATCATAGAACTGGAGTTGGAACAGATCCCAAGGATCACCAACCCAACCCCTTGCAATGCAGGAATCAAAACAAAGCAAGAAGATTTACTAAGGGTTTCACAAGTATTCCCAAACTTTCCCACAATGATTCCACATACAAGTGTAAGCACACAAGTGTGCACAATAACCCAGATGTTACATGTGAAATACTTTTGACTACAGCTACATAAGCATGCTTTCAGAAAAGCAAAGCATAGAATCTGCAATTTCACTAGACAGGCAGCAGTAAGATTACCACAGACTACAGATACTTTTATTATAGGTGTTGGCATAAGCAATTAAACCACACCAGTGACAACTATTTTAAGTATAGTGCTGTACTCTTACCACAATATTCCAATCGTACCAGAGATAGTATATTTATACCTATTACAGCATACTGGTCATGCATAGGGTAAGTTAAAAAGGACAGTCAAATTTCATCACCATTTTCATCAGCGTTGAAAGGCACCTGACTTTTAGGGATTTTTTGGGTAGTGGTGGGACTGTGGCATAGCTGCAGCAGTGGACAGAAATGTTCACTTATTCAGGAAACTTCATTTCATTGCTACCGGTGATATCAGTACATAACCAAATCTGAGCCGCCCCATAATGGTGTGACAACATTATGCTTACTACGTGATCCTTGATGGGATAGGATCACCAATATTACAAATCTCGTCATCACTGTCCTCATTCTGTATCAACTCTGTGTGCCTTCTGTGACACTGAGTACCATCTGTGACATTAGCACGCAGCCAAATTTCATTGGCTATTTAGCATTCTATTATTGGCAACAAGGCAAGGGGGGGGGGGGAATAGTGAGGTCGGCAAAGTTCACCAGAGCAGAGTTTGAAAAGGAGCTTCAGAGCTCCTTACAAGCCTGCCTCAAAGGAAGCAATCATCCTGAATGCTTTGGATTTGATGTGAGAAGGATCCCTAGCTTGGTTCCCACCCTGCCATCCCGATCAGCTCACTCTCTTGCCCCCAAATGCACCCTCCCTATACTTTACTTACCCATAAGCAAAGATAATTTTTACTTAACGTTAACAAGATAAAACATAAAAACAAGATAATTGGGTCATTACACACATAAATTAAGGAAGCAGAGGCCCTTAGAAAGACCCCTCAAGTCCCAAAGGCCATTGTTCTTTACAACCTGGTTTGCTGCCTGCAGCATCTCATGGAACTGGAATCTGAGAAATGAGAAAACCTCCCTCCTCACCACATCGTCCGTTTGCCCATACGAGGGTAGGACCTAGCAGAAAGGGGTGATTTGTCTTCCAAGACCCTCAGATTAGTTTTGGAAAGGAACCCTTTTCTTCCCCATTTTTCATTATCTTTTTCTTTCTTTCCCATTTCTAGGTCAATCTGAAGATAGTGCAGGCATTCACCAATCTCCACTAAAAATATAGTTTAGAATTTTTGGAAGGAAAGTACTTAATGTCAGGTGGAATATCTATACCATACATGCTTGCACTTCCCACAGTGACTGGTGCAGAAATACCACAAACACCTTGCTTTGATGCTCACATAATTTCCACTTTATCCATAAGCATTACCTAAAGGTGGCAGCGTGTGTGTCAGGGGTGGGGGGGAGAGTGCGTCTTTTCATAAGAGTAACAGGATGGTTAAAAGACAATAACTAGTCTATGTTAACTGGACCTGAACATGTGCTCTAAAGAGAATAACATGTGGGTAGCAATTTATAACAACATTGGCACTAATTCATCAAAGCCGGTATTTAACAGGCAATGCTTTGAGATCCACCTCAGTTAAGTTCGGGTACGTGCAGTGTGACTAAATGGAAAATAAAGGGTTATATTCATTATATGCAGCAGTCACATCCTTCTTTTAATTAATAGCCTTGTAATTGGTATTGACTTTAACAGACTGATGACAGTCTTATGATGAGCCATTCCCAGCTCAGCTCCCTACCCATCTGCCCTCAGGTCAGGAACAAAGCGAACTCCATTATGTGGAACCAACTCCCCCGCCTGTACCAATCTCATTTCTGGACCACGTCGAGGTCATCATAGGCAAGAAAACTACAGAAACAGAATCCTGCCACCCGTATTCCCATAGCTTTCAACAACAAAAAAGCAAACCAATGAACACAATCCACAAAACAGTTGTTGATGGTAACCCAGACATCCTGGATTTGGTAACCAAATCAGTACATGTGCTATGATTATTTTGTTTTTAATCATTTTGCCCCAATTCAGTCCAAACTTGATAGCACCAAGCCTTTTGATGAAGTGTAAATCAGCAGTTTCGTGTTACAGTCTCCTTTTACATTTCCTCTGCCCCCCCCCATAAGTATGGAAACTTTAAGGTCATTTACAGAGTGTTCTGGGAGGCTGAAATGTCCCCCTACTGGTTTTTGAAACTGCCATTTCAATATTGACACAAGACGCTTTGTTGATTTTGCTGCCACACATGGGGGAATCTATCAGACCTTGGACAGAGACGCACATACACTAGCTAAGGAGAGGGAGCTGATGTGAGGTGTCTGCGTACCTGTGAAGGAACTAGAGGGGCAATTTGGAGACACAGGCAGATTCAAAGAGATGTAAACTAAAGCCTGAAAGCATCTTGTTGGGCAAGATGTCCTTCGCCAGAGAGCTGATGGAAGATAGAAGATCCGATGGGCTGTTGTTGTTAAGTTGGGCTATACTAGGCCAGGCCTACAAATTCACCATACCCAGCCATTTATGATATTATATGCACACAGTAGAGCAGCCATGATGGATCAAAATGGATGACATTAGGCCATGTCTGTGTCTCTGCTTGGACATCGGTACACTGTTGCTTGAGGTAAGACAAATGAAGATCTTGGCATCATGATTAGAGTAACAGAAAAACAGGAATAAATCCAGAATAAAGGTGACAGCATGACATGTTTTGAAAAACCAATGCTGGAGTGTGCCAAAGTGCCCTGCTTTGGGGGCCCAGTTGCTCACTTTTCCCCCCTCACAGAAAATATTATAGCAATTCATAGTCTATGACAACTAAGGTCTGCCCATACAGATAATGGAATTAATGGGAAAGGCTAGAATTGTATGTTAATTTGATGGTCTGGAGGGAATTAGGAGATTATTTTATTTACTGTGACTGTTTGCTTTGTCGGTGCTATTTATTAGTACATATGCACATACTGTAATATCTAATTGCTTTAGGTTGCTTTAAATTCAATCATATATAAGTTGCTTTGTTTTGAAATATTCTACCGTATCTTGGGTTATTTCCTATAAATTCAGTATAATCTGTTTTATTTTCTACGTAAGTTCTATTGACTTTCATAATTCCATTTATTAACATTTAATAATACCATTAAGCTTGTACACTTGTAAACCAAGTGATTTGTTTCAGTTACAATTTTCTGTATGGTTTTTATTGTGCAAGCCTTACTCCCTGTTCCACAAGGTTGCTGCTGAACAAACTCAAACCTTGATTGGAATCCAATGAATGTTAGTGCATTGGCTAGGATTTAGCACAATATGTGCTGGTGTTGACTGGATCTCCACATTAACAGAGGTTTGTGCACATGCACACATTGCTTATCTCCACTACTTGTATATTTGGAAATGCTGCAAGACTGCCAGAAATCTTCAGTGCTCTTTCCTTTAAAAGATGACAAACCCAGGTGCCCCTGCCCCTGGAACTTCTCATCACAACAGTAATCTGTCCCAGAAGCACCCTAACATCACTTAATAATGTTTAAGAATCAAGAAGTGAAGATCATAAAAACCCTAATTACAGATTATTCATTCATTCAGATGTTTCATTCAGTTTCATTGAACAGAACGATAAAAAGTAGTGATCTCCCCACCTTCTACCCCCAGTTTCCCAGCCAGTGTTCAAAAGCAGAAGGGAAATTAGTCCTTAAAATCAGAGTTTATAATTTTGAAAAGACTACATGTTAATTACACTGGGAAAAGAGATGCAGACTATTATGCAATTTTGCTTTTGCTTCCAGAAACATTAAGAAATAAATCCTTTTCAACAAGATCATATGGTTGTAAGTTACCCAAAGATCATATAAAATTGTTGTTGTTGTTGTTGTTGTTGTTAATTTGAGATAAGACACAAGCTTTGAGATGAGACACAACCCTCCATGCAACAACATATATTCATCCCACATATAAAGTTAAGGTACAGCACTGAAGTTCCAACTGAATCCATTCTTATGCATTTGAAAATATTGATTTCTGCTTGCAGACGTTCATGCCATATTAAACCAATTTCCAAGGTACCACAATACTCTTTGATTTTCGATCAGGTTTACTAACATGTCCCTAGCTGAGAAAAGCTGTGAACAAGGAGCCAAAATGCCTGTACAATTCATGGTGTGGAGGGCCTTCCATCAGCTTTGGCTGGTGGCCCAACTGTACCCCTATCTGGACAGGGATAGGCTAACTACTGTTGTCTATGATCTGGTAACTTCTAGGTTAGATTACTGCAACATCTTATATTTAGGGCTGCCTCTGAAGACGGTTTGGAAACTTCAGTTGGTGCATAATTTGGCAGCCAGGTAGCAACCAGGGCAAAACAGTTTGAACATATTACATTGATCCTGGCCTAACTGCACTGGCTGCTAATTCATTTCTGGGCCCAATTGAAATTGGTGGATTTGATCTATAAAGCCTTAAACAGCTCAGAACCACAATACCTCAAGGACTGCTTCTCCCCATATGAAGCAACCCAGATCATGCAACCATAATCTGAGGCTCTTCATTGTGTGCCTCCTCACAAGAGGTCTGGAGGATGGTAACACAAGAATGAGCCTCTACTGCAGTGGCTCCCCGCTTGTGGAATGCTATTCCCAGGGATGTTCACCTGGTGTCTTCATTACATATCTTTAGGAGCCAAGCAAAAATGTTTCTCTATAACCAGGCCTTTGATGAATTAACATTCTATGGCCTTTTAAATGTGTTTGTGGGAGGAGATTTACTGGATTTTGTATTTCTATGTTGTGAACCACTCTGTGATCTTCAGATGAAGGGTGGATGAAGGGCAGTATGCTTATTTAGTAATTAATAATATAGTGTTTTATGGGATGCGGGTGGCGCTGTGGTCTAAACCACAGAGCCTAGGGCTTGCCAATCAGAAGGTCGGCGGTTCGAATCCCCATGACAGCATGAGCTCCCGTTGCTCGGTCCCAGCTCCTGCCAACCTAGCAGTTCGAAAGCACGTCAAAGTGCAAGTAGACAAATAGGTATTACTTCGGCAGGAATGTAAACACATTTCCGTGCACTGCTCTGGTTTCGCCAGAAGCGGCTTGGTCATGCTGGTCACGTGACCCGGAAAAACTGTCTGTGGACAAACGTCAGCTCCCTTGCCAGTAAAGCAAGATGAGCGCCGCAACCCCAGAGTCGTTCGCGACTGGACTTAACTGTCAGGGGTCCTTTACTACTTCTTTTTTTTAATATAGTGTTTTGCCTCATAGCCCTGAATGCTCTTAATTCACTGATGAGCAGATAAGGCACTAAAAACAGTTAACCAAAAAAAACCCCAACAGTTTGGCTTTAAAGTAAACTAATTTTGGTTGCTAAGTGACTACAATAACTTTTACCTATCATATCATGTGTAAACACCCACGCATAGGCAAGGGAGGAAATTGCCAGTTTTGGGCATTTGGAGTCTAAACAACATGATTGTTCTATATTTGTAGGGAATTTTAATGGTGATTCCAGCAGAAGCTTAATGCTACAGCAGTCAATAATTTGTGAAACCCCTGGCCTAAAGAAAGAAAATAGGAACACTCTGCCTGCTTTCAAGAGATCAGAACATCATCTGAATGTGTAATAATTTAGGAGTATGGTGTTACAAATATTCCAATGACAGCCAGCTCTCTCCCCCACCCTCCCTAGTAACATCAGATCCAGGAGCAGCTGCTTTGGTTCTTAAGCAGTGCTTGGGAGACACAGTGAGGATGGATGATGAGAGTTAACAGGCTGAAACTGAAACCCACAACGCAGAATTGGTGGTTACTGCAGTTGAGCAGACATCTATTGATGGAGTCTGCCCTGCAGCAGTCAATAAAGTTCGCAGCCCAGTAACTGTGCTTGACACTACCCTATTTCTAAACACATAAGATATGGCAAAAGCCAAGTCTGCATTTTATCACCTTTCCAACTTGCATTCAGTAATTGTAGCTTTTCCTGGAGAGACAGAATATGATGGCAACGTTGATCAGTGACTGAGCCCTATAACAGTCAGCATGTTTTTCTACCCCCCCTCCCCCAAGCTTGACTGTTGTAGGCTGATCTACGCAGGTCTGCTTTTGAAGGGTATTTATAAGATGCTCCAAAACAGAATGTGAGATTGCTCAACATCAGTTCTGTCTGATCTGCACTAGCCACTTCCTGTGGCCTCATTTGTTTGCCTTACAGGTATATCATCAGCCTGTGCAAGGATGAGAGTTACCTTTCCAAAAATAATTCTTCCTCTAGAACTCCCTGCTTAGCAAAGCCAGCATATGTTTGACATTCCTAAGCTTTATGGAAAAGTGTTTTGTTTGCTTGTTTCAAAAACCATTTAATCTGCCAACATTTTAAAACTACATCCATTAACAACAGTGTTGCCTGGTTGTCTTTTCAACATTCTTCCTGGTATGCCTGTTTTAGACTTTAATTCTATTTCCCTTTCTTCTTTGATTCCATCAGCCTCTAGTCACTCTGCAGTTTCACAGAAGGAGAAGGCATTCAAGACTCATTCCATCGGCCTATCTGAGCCAATTGCCACCCAGTAGCCTGCCTCCCCTCGCATCAGGCTCTATCAGTAGCCAGTCACTCTGCAGCAAAATGAGGGAGAATACATCTACCATGGGCCTCCTTTGACCCATTCATGTTTTATGTTTCTTTTGTTAACTTTCTTGATTTCCTTTCTTTTTAAGCAGGAAAAGAACATGTGCTTTTGTAATAAGCTTTGCTTATTTTGCATGATGGTAATGGTGGTGGTGATTTGCAGGTTGTGATAGGGGAACCAGGGGCGTCTTACCCATAGAGGCTAGTGGCACAGGGTGCCAGGGTGCTAAGTTCTGAAGGGTGCCAGGGAAGAGGCGGAGGCTGGACACAACGCCCCCTGCCATCAGCTTTCTGCCCTCACCCACCTCCGCCATGCGAAGCAGTGCTGTGCCCGGAGCCTCCGTCTGCTGTGGCCACCGCGGCACGAAGTGGCCTGCTGAGCCAGGAGGCGCCGTGGCCAGCCTCCGCCTCTTCCCCGCCGGAGCTGCCCTCCAGCCGCTGCCCATCTCATCCAGCCCCGCCCTCCCTAAAAACCTCTGGAAAACGGGGGGGGGAGGCGCGGGAGGGAGCTTTGCACCATAGCACCAGATATGCTTAAGACGGCCCTGAGGGGAACATTTAAAAAGTATGACGTGATCCCAAGACTTTTCATCTATAGCAGAATGAGAAGGTCAAGTAGCGGTAGTTGCAGAAAGGCTTGTTCTCTAGGCAGGAGCTGACTGTACCAACTGAGAACCAGGGTGGGGAGTGATGGACTCCATTAACTTTCCCTAAGGGTACCTTCTCTGTTGCACTGAATTGCAAACAAGGAATCAATCATACCAAATAAACTAAAATAACGGGATCCTGAAAATCTCAAAAAGCAATTTGCTGAAGGAGTGAGACCAGTTATCCCACCTGTTCTCTCTACTTGAAATGAACTTCACATTGACTGAAGACAAATGACTATCAAATGCTCTTGGATCATTTTTTCCATTTGTACTGCTGAGAGAACTCGCCAGCTCATGCATGCTAGGCTGACATGGATCCCCACCTTTACTATTGCCAGAGTCAAAGCGTCTTTGAAATGCGAAAGATGTGGGCTAAGTAGGAGAGAGTAATCCAACACTGCTCCTTAGAATAGACATATCCTCCACTTTTGTAACTGTATCCCTGTGAGACTGAGGATGGAGGCACCAAACTTGTCATATCTTTAAAAGAGGAACATCTCAAGACTCCGAAGCTTAACTCTGTCTGAGAACCAACTGCTGAAGGAACTCTTTCCCCATCAAGAATAATCAGTGACAGACCTCATAAAACTCTGCAACAGGTGGGGAAGCAAGTAGTACACGAGAGCTGCATTTTGCTGGGTTATTTATACACAGAACAGACACAGTTGCATAAAACAGGTACCGCAGAAGGGGAGGCATGAAGGACAAGTTGAAAGAATAAGGCTATGCCAATGAAGAAGGAATGAAGTGAGGGGAAAGTGGTGGGTGTGTGGGTGTTTGTGTGTACAAATATAGGGCTGTGAGATGGCTGGCTGATTACTTTGGTGTGTATGCCCTGAAGCAAAGTCTGACTACAATCCTGGATTTTACAAAAGAATGTTAGTATCTCTTTATAGGAGTTAATGATTAGAATATGTTGTTTTGATGCAGAGATCTCTCTGGAATGTTTGGAATGGAAAAGCCACCAGTGTCTTGAGAATGGGGTGGGAGTATATATGTCTGTGTGTAGCAGCAAAATAATTTTTCTTGTAGCAAAGCGACAGCAGCAGAGGGAGAATTCTGAACTAAAGCCAATTGGAGTGCTAAGAGTCACTCTCTCTCTCTCTCTCTCTGTCTCTGGAGATTTGATGGGAGCTAGCAGATCTGCTGCCTTATGCTAAGTCAGACCACTGGTCCACCTAGCTTAGTATTGTGTACACTGACGGGCAGCAGCTCTGGAGAGTTTCAGACTGAGGTCTTTCCTAAGCTTTACCTGGAAATGCTGGGGATTGAACCTGGGACCTTCTGCATGCAAAACAAATGTTTTACCCATGAGCTATGACCCTGTGCACCAACATACATGTGCCCCTCTTTGCAATTAAAGGGGTCAGTGTAGTTCAGAGAAAGGAAACTGGAGAGTGATT